GATTAGTCCATGTTTGTGTGACAAACTCGGTAACAGATTTGTAGATATAAGGTAGAAAGCAGATAAAGATAGATCATCTTTCGCAAGTATTTCGAGCGTTAAATAAATCAATATCCCTCTCAATATTTAAGTAACCCCATCAGAACAATTATGCTCCATTGCACGGTATCGAAAGAAATATTCATTACTATTCCACTCTTGTTCTTGGGAACCAATCAGAATCGACCATTTTTACGATTCCTCCTGTATAACAGCGATATTTTTTTTTGTACTCAGATCCATCGGACTTGGTCTATCATTACTGAAGCCGATCTGACCCAACGTGAGCAACCAACCTCGTTTTTTAACGATAATTTTTTTTATCCATTTCACGTTTATAACGTCAATTATGATTTGCAACTCTCGCGAATCGCTCGTTTTTTGTCTCAATCATGAAATAGTCATACGAATACATCTCGTGATACTCCAGCTTGTTGCTTTAATTTCGCTCATGACATTGTTCCAAAAAGTCAAAACTCGAAAGTTTTGATGATCAATGTCACTCGCGAAATTATAAGGCACAGGCTGTCTTAACAAATACCGAATGATACTGGCAAAATAGTATCACTTGTGGAATAACATATTATGGTTTTGAGTGATGAAATAGTAATTTAGAATGAATTCTACTAGTGTGTACAACTCCATGACCTGAACATACCCTTACTGAAAATAAAAATCACAAAAAAAATTTAAATTCTTGCCCACATTTTTCTGACTGTATTCAGTCTCGAAATCTGAATATAAAAATGGTGGAATCGGAGGAATTTGATGAAAGCATCCGATATCACCCACTTGTTGGTATGAGCTTATCACTATGAAGTGGCATTGAAAATACTAAGGACAATTTGCCGAAATGCATGAGAACTCTTTAATTTTTCAGTTGCAATCGAGAGTATACTCGTTCGGAAATGTCCTATGATAAGTGGCTATATATAGACTATAGCTTTTCAAGTGAGAAAAGAACATGATTCGACCACTGCTTGACTCTCAATGAGATGAGTAACTATAACCAGTGCAATTCCAAAATTATAAGGTTCTGCTAGTCATAACCAGGCTGAATTTTGCTATCAGCAATGTTATTACAGAGTGACCTAGAGATTATTCAACTAACATTTTTGAATTGAATACCTACCATGTATCTCGGAAAGAGCAGAAGGAAAGACACGCATTCATATTCCAGTTTAAAAACTATTTTGGAGACATGCGTTTTTCAATATGTACATTATATTGAGAAACACCCTGTGTAAGTTGATGTCTCATGCGTTAACATGAAACAGGACATGGAATCACTAACAAAATAAAATATTGGTGTACGAATGAGATGGAGAGAAATGACAGAAAAAGCTGTAGATATGATGAGTCGAAGAATCTACAGAATATTCAGAATACAAAGTGATATACTGGAAGATATTTGGAAGAAAGGAGGCATTGACGGTAATATTGAATATTAATCAGTTTTGAAGAAACCCTTTGGAGATTAAGTGAGAATTGCTTCCATATAAGTTCTGCTACCTCTGTTAACAAGATTACTGTATGACTCACCTCATTGAAAAGACAATAGGATACCTATAAGAAATTAACAGGATCACGGAAAGAGGGCTCTGCTGGAAAAAAACTCAGGTAATGCTGTGATACCTACTACACACATACACTGATGTACAAAATTCTTTTTGTTTTTTTCATTGTTTGTATCATAATTATTATTAAATGGTTGGAAAAATCTGAAATTGGTGCCTATAAAACAAGAGCTTATTACGCATTGGTATCCTCTTGTAACCAATTTGAGAAAAAGCTTCACCATGTATTCCTTACTTGTGTTGTTACAATTGAGTCCACTTATTTTCTTGATCAAACATACCGCCTACAAAATGAAATAGAGATACCACTGTTGATATTTTGTGCCTTCTGAGTGACACAGGCTGGTTCGTTCACCGAAATCAGATTACCCTAATTATACAGTAATTATAATGTCTGCAACAAAATGAAAAAAAATGAAAAAACGAAATGAGTTTCGTACATCAAGTTATGTGTGTATCACACGATTAGGTGGGTTTGTTTCCAGCAGAGCCCTCTCTTCGTAATCCAGTTTTATTCTTATAGGTATCCTTTTGTTTTTAGAATAATCAGGTAGGTTATACAGTAATCTTGTTAACAGTGATAGCAGAACGTGGATGGAAGCAAATCTCATTTAATCTCCAAAAGGTTCAGTAGGTACGCATAACTTTTTACCTCGATTTCCTCAGAATAATTTATATTTCATATTACCGTCGATGCTCCATGTATACCTTATATTTCTCAGTATTTCACTTTGTATTCTGAAGATATTTCAAGTTCCATGGTACGCAGTGCATGCTTTCTGAAAAGCGGGCTCCAATTACCACCGAAATCTCACATGTCCCTATCATCACTTTTGATTCACTATCTACTGACATTGAATTGGAAAGAAATATAGGGCGGTTCAAGATTCAGAATTCTGATCACCCTGTATCTGTAAAGATGATGGGAGTATTTTTTCAAGATATCAGAATCATGTCGTATGTTGATATTTTTCTATCGCTTATTATAAACGTTAGGGATGTCTTTAGGAACTCGCACCAAGATTTTTTCGTTTGTGATACCCTCGGGATGGATTATTGAAGAACTCACAATAAGAATTTCTGATTCAGATTACGTTCGAGTCAACTGTATATGAACTCGCAGTGAGAATATCTCGTTCACGTTACATGCGTGATAGCTTCACAACTCACAACAAGAACAATTTCTTGTTCAGGTAACTTTTCAGCTATCTTAAGGAACTCGCAGTAAGAATTTCTTGTCCAGGTTGATTTCGTCATGACTTTGGGAATTCATTGTGGAAATGAAATCGATAATTGAAAGGTGAGGTTTCAAAGATCTCTACATGGGACTTCAAGAAGAAAGACGCTTAGTTACAGCACATAGCGATCTCTACTACCTCACGATAGGAGTTCGCTTATGATCCTGATGTTGATCTCTCTGAGATCTCGCGGAGAGGATTGTGTTACCTGAGATGTGTCTGAAGAATTTATATTGTCTATACTTGAAATATGATCCAGGTGCGTTCTCCTCTTGAGAAAGACCAGATTCGTGGCAATATCAAATATTCACCTAATCTTTCTCTCGTTTCCAAAACTAGAAGTTAATGTAGTACTTGAAGCTTTAGGCCATGTGTTTCGATTGTTTCTCAATCAGAACCATTGCCCTTTCTTCAGATCCTTGTTCGAAATGACCATTTTATATCAACACACCGTTCAGAATCCTGCGATTTTGATATGTATACAGGGAGTTTACAAAATGATGACCCTCTGGCTAGGATAGGTAGAACACTGAACACAAGACATAACTTTCTGAGGTTGAATCTTCTAGGACAAATCAGATGTGAACTTGAACATTTTTGAGTTCCACACCAAAAAAACTATAATGTGTGAAACTCGATGATGTGTGCCGTTTCCAGCATATTGTGATTTGAGATGGTGAAGTTATAATGATGCTGGTGTAAAGTTAGTTTTCTCCACAACAATTACATATCCATTTATATTCAAAAACATTTGCATTACCCTCATGATGGGGTTATTGATCAAATGAGAAATCAATATAGGAGATAATCAGAATAGATCCGACTGTAAACATGAAATTTTGAATCAGTAAGAGAAAGTGTTTAAATTGTCCTCCCTGTCAACCAATACGCAAACGTATCAATTTTTCCCATGATTTCATTAATTTTCTCAATGGTTGAGGATCATCAACGAGTGAATTCACCTCTGTACCACAAACTATTCACTCAAAATAGTTGGCCAAACTGTGTAGGCCAGGTACTTGTCAGATTTATTTCGATTCCATTATTTGCAATCCTCATTCTTATCAACTCCAGAATACGAAAAATGTTATTAGTTTGAATCTGTGATGAATGGGTGATAGTTTTCTATAATACTTACATTTAACCAGCATCAATTATAGTACTCCATCATTTAAGACTCAAAATATTCCGAAAACGGTAAACGCACAGGATCAGCAGGAGTATGTTTTTTGTTCAGAATCGAATAATGTTCAAGTTCATATAAAATTTGGAATAAGAAAGCATTACTCAATGAGTTACGAAGCGTATTACTATAGCGCTGTTTTTGAGTAATAGATAAAAAAACAAATTGATAAAAATTCATGAGATTTGTCAGCTCCTGAAAAAATATACATACCTGATGTCGTAACAATGTGGTCAGTAGATTCGACATAATGAAAGAAAATGTGTTATAGCTTAGTATAAATCTACCATTTGATTTGAATATGGATGCCATCACGACATTTTTTCGGCAAGTTTTTAGGGATACCTACTTCCTGGATGCATCTTCTTTGAGAAAATAGCATTTTTCCTGCCTAATCCGAGAAGTTGTCATTGTTCATACGAAAATCTTCGTAGATTTGGTGTCAAATGCAGTTGATAATTATCATAACAGCGAAATATCGACAGACAGCGATTTGACATGAAATAAGTAGACATTATGATTCTTGAAAGTTTCCAAGGTTTTTGGTCGCTAAAATCTCGTAATGAAGTATCGTAAGCAGAAGCGATAGTTAGTTTGAAAATGCTGCCACAGCACAATTAGTACAATTCAATATTTGATACGAACGAGGATTGAATTGTTAGGAAATCCATTTGAAAAAAAATAATTCTCTTATTCTACACAGTTGCCAAAAAAATAGTGTACTCACCACGTCCGAAAAGAGTTTTGTTCAGACTTGTTATGTAAATTACTATACTGAGCACAGCCTAACCTAGCAGAAGGCCACTTTCTTTGAACAATCAATTTATAACGAATCATTCCAGATTGCCTGATTCACTTGTTACTAGTATCTCACTATACGTTGTCAAAAATAACGATGCAATTATGAATAAATGAATCAAATGGTTTGAAAAAATTACTATATTTCAAGAATATCACAAAATAGGACTAATAAAATACCACGTCATAAACTATAATATTAGTTGGGTATTCATACAGATATGTACATGTACAAGGATTAAAATAATATGGGCTAGGGTACCCTCATTACAATGGTACCTGAAAAAATCTAGGGTTCCTCATCGACATGAAGTATTATCGTTGAATACATTTCTACGATTCGTTATTTCACATAAGACAATCCTAGTTTCCCCAATAATCACTAACATTTCAAATACCCCAACATCAGTTCATTCCGAGAAATGATTCCTAGGTCGAAAATAACGCTTGCATACTCACCGGCAAAAAAAACTGCCATCATGAAATATTCCATTAAGTTCACCGGCACCGAATATTCATCACCTCGAATCATAGTGGCCAGTTTTTTTGCCTGTGATTACAAATTGAAAAAATAAGGTATGAGGTAGAGATCAGGAAAAAAGATTACACAGATAGTATCTACCTACAATTGAAAAATCTCCATCAGTTGCCTAACAGTCATATTTTCCAAATCTAGATTACTATTCATCCTTATATTCTCGACCAAATCTGGATTTTCCTGAATATATTTTGATATCGACATGAGATCATCAAAAAAACTAGCAATTGTTGCAGAACTATCACGACCGCTATCATTCGACTGGAAGGAACATACTGGAGAAACAGGCATATTATTGCTTTCACTCTCTATCGATTGAGGAATCTGACAGGATTCACTATCCATACATTGAGAAAAAAATTGATTCACTCCACTGTGAATAGATTGATCTATCTGGTCAACTTTGTATATTTCATATTTTAAATATGGTAACGGTGATGGTGTGTTCGTACCAGATAGTATGGAAATATCAGAATCAGAATGGGAAATGTCTGAATGGCTTTGTGGAGAATGTGAAATGAGCCTAGGAGATTCATTATGAGTAGCTTGATGTGATTCTTCATCTAGAAAATATGAGAGGTCAAATGATTGAATACAAGCATCCTCCATATGGTTGCTTTCTGTTTTGAGAGATCCGTCCAGATACATTGGTAATGAATGTGTCTGAGAAGAGTGATTGAGAATATCAACAGGAACATTATTTGTGCTAGTCATGGAAGGACTGCTGTCAACTGATAATCTATCCTTCATTCTTCTGTTCTGAAACCATATCTTGATTTGCTTCTCTGGAAGATTCAGTGATGATGCCAATTTCATCCTGGTTACCCTGGTTAAGTAATTCGATTCCAAAAATTGTCTTTCGAGTTCCAATAACTGGTGAGGCGTATAAACGGTCCTGCGTCTCCTGCGAGTCGATGTGGATATTGGAACACAATTAGCTAGAAGTAAAATGAAAAGTCAATTATAATGCGGTGGACATGAGATTGACTATATGACACGAATGTAACACGCATGAGCTTCAAGAAAATACGAGGTGACTACTAGTATTCTGATGTTCTGATACGGTAGAAAAAATAAATTATACTCACATAAGTTTCCACAACTGGTATCAACTGAACTCCGATATTTCAGAAACGTGGGTAGATCATATATGGGTGTATGACTTTCGCTCACAATCATGTTTTCTTGTCTGGTATACTCCTATAAAAAAAATTATCGAAATTAGTGTTATTATAGCATCTATGAAATATCACATAAAGAATGAAGAGATAACATTTTCAGAGGTGCATGCACAATTTTTTGTTAGTTTCTGGAGGAATCTGAGCCTTGAGGTTAGAGCAGATCACATTTTCATTCAAGATATAAAGTATCTACTGATATCATCAGATAAACAATTGAAGACCTCGGTGCGAGAACTAGACAACTCCAACTTTTTAAAATGTTGGGGAATGGAAAAAAAAACTTAATATTTTTGAGAAACTTGAAGAAAATTATGCTGAATGGTATGAATCCTTCAGAGTTACGTAACATGATCTGTATTTACACAGATAATAATTTTTATATACATTGTAGATCCTTAAAAAAAAGTTTGAAAAAATGGAGTTGCCTGTTGCTTACCCCAAAAAGATGAAATTCTGAATAAGAGTCAAACTCGTGTGATAATTTTGCTTTTTGATTGAAAATGATATATATTACGGAAAATATTGTAATCAAATAGTATTTTCAACATAGGAAGTATCGCTGGCGTTTCCTGCATGTTGATCTGCTTCAACATTGCCAGAATTTGGGTCCTATTCGTCAACAGTTATGTTTTTGGAACATATTCACTTCCCGAATCTTGAAAGGGCTCACTACCACTTTCCGACGACATTACATTGTATTGCATGAAACAAATGATCAAACTCATCACGTCACACACGATGGAAGACGCGGGTAACTCCTGGAGTTGCCCGACTCTAGCACCGTCATGGCTTACATTTCTGTGCTTAAATCGGGTAACTCCTGGAGTTGCCCGACTCCTACACCTCAATGGCTCATCAGGTAAATTTTTTCCCGTGCTAACGTGATAGGAAATTGTTGGATTCACTTGATTTTTGCACCAAAAGATGCGCAAGGAAAAATTTTATATGTTAAATTCATTAACCCAATCTCGGCATGAAATGGAGTTGCCCGGTTCTTGCATCAAGGTCTTCAATTGTAACTGGTGATGGGTTGGTAGAAAGCGATTCCGCAAGAATCCATGCGATTAATATTTTCGTTTCATATTATTTATAATTCCATTTCCAAAATGAATTGAAATCATAAAATAATGGTTATTTCAATTGAAATAGATTTTAAATTAGTACTTTATTCTTGAAATGTGGATCATTTTTATATTCTATATTATATTATGTGACGATCTATCATGAGGTTAGGAGAGCAAAATAATGAATTTATAATAGTTATAATAGCTTACCATACTATTGTTAGCACGAACACTGCGAGAAGTCTATCAATTTTGAAAATGGTTGAAACACCTTCACTTTGTTTGACACAATTCTTCACTAGTGAGAACTCTTTTCGATGACAACAATTAATGAACAAGTAGTGAATGTTCAAGTCGTCTGAAATATTTGAAGTAAACAGAAACTATATCAATGTGCACACGTGCGGTAATCCCTCAAATCCTAACCAATGATTTACACGATTACCTGGATTTGACCAATCATAGGCATGAGCTTAAGAATGGTCCTCATCATTTTATTCCAAGTAAAACAAAGCTCGTATACTTCACATACTTAACCCCTTTTTCACCCTACTGATACAGGTATATTTTGAATGGAATTACCTGTATATGTTTCATTGTTCTCGATTTGGCAAACTGTATTATGAGCAAATATGGTACAAAAATTCGTAAGGAGCATTTCAATATTGTGACAAAATAATATTTCAAGTGAAATCGATTCATGAAGCGCAGTGATATTGATAACTGAATCTGCTGTTTCATACTTATCCTTTGAAACATAAAATTTTCTATGTACTTTCACAAGCTATTATTATCAATGTTAGTCGTTTTATGATATTGAATAAAGATAACTACTGAATAATATTCGAAATTAACACAACGACATTTCAATATAATCAATAACGATCGAATCAATTGGTACATGTTTTTTACTTTGCCGATGTGCACCTCGAGGTGTCCCCATGGGTGGTTTGCGCCATAATTGTGTGTCCATTTGGTGTTTAACAAATTCTTGTCCTTTTCTTTCAATATTGAGATTAAACAACATTTATTTATTCCTACTACAGAGATGTATTTATTTTATTAGGCTGAGGATGGACATATATAATATATCCGAAACATGAACCAATTGATTTGATCGTGGTTGATTATATTGAAATGTCGTGAAGATGATTTCGAGTATCATTTAGTAGTTACTATTCAACTCCACTTTGAGGAATCATGGATTTCTATCAAAGATTGAATAGGAATAACTTTCACAGAAATGACAAACTAACATAGAAGAATAATTGAAGTTATTGCAGATGAGGAATATTTTCATGACACATATTTCCCAGGGAATTTTAATGATAATATATAAATCGACAAGTTCAGTCAGCACATCTTCTCATCGTCAACCTTGCGATATGTCGAACTTCTCGTTACCACAACTCGTTTGTCAATGAAACGGCAAAGCTTTGGAATTTTCTGCCATTAAAAGTTGTTCAAAGAACTTTCAATCTCCAACTGATCAATTATAATTTCCATACCTACCTCTTTTCTCTATCCTCCCTATGTTCGTACGATGTTCTCGGAACATCATAGGGATTCCCTTTCATGCGTCCCAAGAAATGAAGGGACATATTCACGTTATCTGAATGAATTAATTCAATTTCAGTCCTAGGTACCATCGACAAAAATAAAACGATCAGAATGACATTGAGTGCAAAAAATATTTTTTTCTACAAACGTCAAAAAATGACAAGGTTCGCGCATTGATAACAAATTGCGAAGTGACACTTTTCTCTTTTTCCTACGTTACCATGATACCTTGCACAAAACAATGCGCGAAGTACAACAGTGCGCGAAGTACCTACTTCGCGCATTGTTATATAAAATATATGAGATATTTATATTTCAACTCTATGGTCCTCAATCGAGCAAACATCCACGAAATCATTTATTTTCTGAATGTTCAACAATAACTTTGTTTTATCTCTTGGAGCGCACGAAAGGAAATTCCTATTATGTTCGTGGAACATCGTGGGTACCTAGGGAGGATAGGGGGAGGCTTTTTGAGCCAGTTCAACACGATTTTTCATATCAAGCTAAGCATATTTTTACTTTAGAACTATATGTTTTGACCTTTGTAGAAAAAATGTTGTTTGCAACTCGAGCGCGAAATACTTTGGTCATCTCGACTATTTTTTTAACTCGGCTATACGCCTCGTTAAAAAAATCAGATCTCGATCACCAAAGTAGCATTTCGCGCTCTAGATACAAAAATAACTATTTCATTCAAAATGCAACACATCATGACTGATTCTTTCATGGCAGACACATTCAGTTTAAATCATGAGTAGGTGAATTAAGTTGAATGGTGGCTTGAAAGTAAATGTTTTCTTGATCTGTGATGTATCTTGATAAATTTGTTTCAATTTGGATACTAGCACCAATATTCAGAAGAAAATGTTTCGAAAAAACTGAAAAATCTGTGACGAAGTGATTGAGCAAATATAAAAAAATGCCATTGTCATGCATGAAAAATAGTGCATTGAAGTAACTTTTTTTTTTATTTCTTGGAAGTCAAAGGCAAAATCCCTACTCATTACTGGAAAGGATTTGCTAGTCTCAACCACAATGGTTTGAAAATAACTTCTGGATGAAGGACTTTGGAGTAGATCAGGCTAACACTTCGAAATACAATCACCTCAATAGGATTCCATCATACACAAGCTCGAGAGCTCAACAAAAATACTAGAGTAACACGTAATTGAATGGTGAAAAATGAAGTGAACACTTGGGAACCAGAAGAATTCATTTTAGTGTGTTTACCGTGTTAAGTGTGTGTTCGACCTTCACTCATTTGTCCAACGGATCAGAATTATTCCATAAGTAATTAAGTATGTCGAGAGTTATTTAAAACATAGTTCGCCTGAAAAAATCTTGACCAGGCTATGATTGATTACAAATTCAAAAATACCTTTTTTTTAATTTTCCACAATGTGAATGGGAAAAGTTCACACCAGCCGTAAGTACAAAGCCTATTGAATATGCAAACGTAAAGTAGCCTTAATTTTTCCTGATCTAACTATAGAATTGCCAGGTATAATCAGGTATGTTGGTCCTAGTTATCTTCACCTAGCTGTTCAATCTTGAATGGAACTTGAAAATAAGCGCTGTTCAATTATGAACACAATGATATAGGGTTGCCTACAAAAAGTCTGTCCTAAATGACGGTTGTCGAATTTTTCGAGAAATGGAATCTTAGTGCATCTGTGAACATGTGACAAAGATGTCCGAGACAAATATTTCGTGCATTAGACAAAGACAGAGTTGAAGGTGCGCGCAGCGCGACCACGGGATGTAGGAAAGTGCGCATGTTAGTAGTTCATGAAAAAAAAATGAATAGAGCAGTGAAGTGTATCATCCTGTAGATATTCAAGAACGTTTGATGGCCCAAATATTGCGTTCTCGAAGTGAGATAGGTGTGCCAGATTCCAAATCATTATTTTGAAAATAGTAGGAGGAAATTAAAAAACATGCACAAAAAAATTCTTATCTTTGAAACCATGTATATCGGAAACGAAGTTACCAAGCATATATGTTCGCAAATAATTTCAATCTTTGAAAATATCTACTCTGATGAGCTGTTGAAGTCCTGCTACAAAAAACTGACTAACCCTATATATATTCATATTTTCAAATCATTTTATTTATCTAACATATAATAATATTAACTTTCAAATCACCATATATTCCATATTTCTTTCGTACGTATACTACCAGTTGCTCCAGAATATTGTTGTTTACTAGTTTAATCTGTACATGATCTAATATAACAGGTGCACTCCCTTACATCTGGTGGTCGCGCTGCGTGCAACTTCAACTCTGTTTTCATGTAATGCAAGAAATATTTGTCTCGGACATATTTGTCGCACGTTTAGTAGCACTGAACTTTTATTTTTTCGAATTCGACAACCATCAATCAGCACTGAC